GATCGATTGTGATATTGGTTGATTTCCTTGCATATCCGTTGGCCGAAATATAATAGTTTTTTACTGACAAAAAGTAATAAACTCTCGAACCTTCGAAGGTTGTGGAGTTAGTTATAGGTTTTTATAATTATTTGATTTACACTGAATAAATTTCATAGTAAGGATTTTAATTGTTTCAGAAAATAAAGACTTTTATATTTCAATAATTAAATTTATGATCAGATATCTGATGGATTGGGCCGTAGAGAGAAATAAAAAATCCTAGTGACAAATTTTCTCTGCCATATAGCCAAATATCAAACTTTAGTATCATTAGGGAGCTAAATTGTCTATAGAAGGTAAATAGATATCTCCGCGGTAAATAGTTCCCCTTTAATTAAATTATAAACACCCTTCTAAAACTTCGTGATTTGCTTTATGTTATCGTTAACTAGAACTTTTATATCTACGAAAATTCTCAGAAACATGATGTTTCCTCATTAAATTAATTAATTTAATGAAGTCCAAAAAACTCACGAACATCCATTTGCTTTCTACTTGAATCGTTAAATAATTTTATAACAGATTCGAGAAAAAAGATATTGGGCCATTTGCCGTAACAACCTTATTTTGACATGTCGGGAATGGAGTTCACGCCAGACAGCGGAATTGTTCTGTACACCACATTTTTCTCGATTTTTTGATCAAATTATCTCACATTTCAAGAAAAAGGGAACTGAGTGTTCATGAGTTTTTAGAACCTCATTAAACGGATAAAGTTTACTGACCTACAGATAGAAAGCACCCCATTACCAAGACTTTTCGTTGATTACGAATAGAAGTTTTAGAGTGATGTTATTAACAACAACTTTTACCACTACAACCCATGAAGTGTCTTTCGTTCAGTACTGTTTTAGGGAAAGTACTATTTCAAGGCCAACGGTTGTGCTGGGAGGAGATCGGGCCAGGATCACGCTCAACCACCATGTCTTCTCCCTTAATAAATTATTTAATTAACGGTAGAAAATAGAAAATAGAAATAGAAAATCATCTTTATTCTGCGACTAGATCCCTTGAGAATAGCAATATTGCTTAAACCAATTGACAATAAATCTGGCCAGATGAGCTATTATATTAAAGAGTAACTACAATCTAAGTAATAAAATGAGAATATACATAGTTTTGGAGGGTATATTAAGGAAAGCAGATGGGTACAACGGTTACAATATTATAATATTGGTACAAAAAACAACATCATACTTATAACTAAATAAAACTAGAAAGAAATGCTAAATAAGTTTTATAGGTAACCAATTTTAGTGCTACAATATAATAAAAAAAATAAAAATAAGAATAAAAGAAAATAACTAGTGTAAATAAATGTTTTATATATGTTCCTTAAGAAGATTAAGAGAAAACATGTGAAGGTATTGTGAAAAAGTAGACAAGTATTGTGCTCTACCAATGACGCAATAGATTACGAGCAGAAAAAGAAAAAAACAAGAAATACATATATATTCCCTTTCAACAAGATCTCGACCTTCTGACCTCTACATCCCTTCTCACAGATCTGCCTCATTTCAAAACTCCTTTATAACTCGCGCTGTCAATTTCTAGAATTCCCTACCTATCAAAATTCGACATTCCTTCTCCATATCCACATTCAAAACCCTCCTTTTCCAATTCTTATCCCAAAAACAGTCAGATGCTTGCTAAACTTTTGATATTATACATTTCTATTTTATCATTAATCATCAAACGATAGTACTATTCTATACTTTACACTTCACTAGGGATATTACAATATCTTCTTGCTCTTAACGCCACTGAATGCATTTATTATTTGTTTTTTATTATTTTTTATTCTTATATAATTAAATGTGTACCCATAGTTAGAATTAGACAATGATGTGTCTACATATTATTCATTATTTAAATACTCTGACATATTACATTGTCAGCTTTGTCTTCAGTTAGCAGAAACACACATCATTTTAAAGAAGAACTCAATTTATTTATCTTTTAATTTTATTTTTCAAAAGTGTATAATTATAATTTTTTCTCCTGTACATATTTATAAGTGTTTTGTATGTAGATTTTTTTTTGTATATAGCTTGTTTAACTAATATTTTCTTTTTTTTATTATTGTTTTATTTTGGCCAGATGTAGTCTTTTAATTATGTTCTATTTTGTTATTCTAAAGGGACTTCGTCCCAGAATAAAGTTACCCACATAGAGAGGAGAGTGCAGAAGATAACTAAAAAATAAAATACTTTGAAATAAAATATAATACTCTTCAAAAAAATACACTCTTATGAATAGAAAAGATAAAAGGTAATAAAAAATTATACCTACTCACAGGGTACCCATTTTGTAGAAGCTGGGTGTGCCATAGGAGGATCTCTCTACCCCGGGATGGCCTCACGGCGGATGAAACAGAATAAATACTTTTCTGCCATTAGCCGAGATTCGTACTTGAGACCTCGAGCATCGGAAGTTCAGTGCCCTACCACTGAGCTATCCCGCTCCCAGAGGGATGTTATTAATTAGACAAAATTGGATCTGTGGACTAAAATTTGCTTTTTCTTCTAAGTTGATTAACGTTATTCCTTTTTGAATATTTAATAATCCACCGTTGCATTATAAAGGAAGGAGATGGTGGTGGAGATGGTTATAAAGGAAGGGCGGTAATAAATAGGATAAATAGTGGCAGAACTATTTTATTAAAAGCCAACGTTTACCTTGCTCTACTTCTAATTGTAATATCTGCTATATTGGTGAAACCAAAAACCATCTCAAAACCCGCATTTCCCAACAAAAAACTTCCATAACTTCCCGGAACTCTTTCGCCTCCAAACTATCAGAACATGTCTTAACCCTCAACCATTCATTTGATTTTGAAAAACCTCTATTCTTGTCATGGTCTCTAACCAGGAAAAAAGACTCATTTCCGAATCCATCCACGTTCACATGGAACAGAATCTTGTCAATCATAAAGTAGATAAAAACTACATTTCTTTAACATATAGGCACATTTTAAATCTTGTATGTGAAAAATAACTAATATAATACATCCTATGGTTTGTATCTACTTTCAATTTTTATTTATTAATTCAATTTAATTATTCATTGTTTTAAGTATTTCCGCTTTGTATGATCTCTCTTTTATTTTATTTTATTTTTTTATATTTACATTCTACATCAATGTATGATCATCCGTTTTCACTTTGTATTCATTTCACTTTTTAACCATGTCTCAATATTATCTAATATTTAAATGTAATTTTCTTACACATGTACAACCAAAAACTAAAAAGCTTTAATAAAAATTTCTTAACTTTGCTCGCGTCCGTACATTGTACACGTGCCCTCCGGTTATAACTAAATGAGAAATATTGTCGCCGCGAAGACAGTTCAACATCATAGAATCAACAAAAATATGAATCCATTAAAATTAAGGAAACCAGAAGGTCATGTCAACACACAGTCAACACAAGGCTATGTTCAGGAACGCTGGTGGCCTAACTGCTGACAAATTCACAGAATGGAAGGCGATTATTACAAAGGAGGATCCTGATTTATATGGGATCGTAGAAGCCGGCTCACCCACTGAAAATATCCAGTTCTACCAATTACCGGGATATCAAATTTATAAACTGCAGAGATCCAGGCAGGTTGCATCAGGAATAATTGTCGCTGCTAAATCATCCCTCAAGGTAACCTTTTCAATTAAAAAGAAGATGGAAGAGAATGATAAATTGGAGGCTGTACAGTTAGATGTATGGAAAAGGATTCATGGCGGAGTTGTATTGGGCTGCCAGGAACCGAATGGCCTAATAGCCAACGGCAGAGGCGTTTAATAAAAAAAAAACATATGTACAACCATATATAATTATAATTATGTAGAGATGGTTGACCGTTGATATAATATGAGAAGGAGTTAGTCGAGGGTGCGGTCAAATAAATAAAAAAAAATAAAATATATAAATTATTTTAATTTTTGCCGACGTTTCGACCCACTTTGCAGGTCGTCTTCAGGGCGTAGCCGTGTTTCAACTGCCTCCCGCAGTGCCACATCCTACGCCCTGAAGACGACCTGCAAAGTGGGTCGAAACGTCGGCAATAATTAAAATAATTTATATATTTTAATTTTTTTTATTTATTTGACCGCACCCTCGACTAACTCCTTCTCATATAATTATAATTATTCATGCTTTTTAAGTTAGTTCTGCAATGTATGATATCTTATTTCTATATTTGTATTTTACTTCTATTTACGTTTTACTTCTTCCATTTTTGCTTTTATTCACATTGTACTCTTATCTACAATCTCTCAATTCTATTTTATATGTGTTTGTATATATTTATAATTTAATATTTCATAGATATAGTAATTTTTTCCTTGTATCCATTCATATCTTCAAATTTTAGATACTATAATTTTCTAGGTTTTTCCCCATTACCCAAACAAGTCAGCAAATTCCCCAATACCTGCCCTTACCCTGATTTTCCAGTTCTAAGTGAAACTCCTAGCGGAGCACACCTGAAGTCTCTAATTTTATTCTTCTATTTTTTTTGTTTTCTTTGCTTTCTCTACATTTTTTTATGTCTATTATTTTATATTAGACTTAGACCATTTCTTTCAATCTCTCCTTTAGATCTGTAGAAGTATATTCACATTTGCATATATTATATATTACACTACAACAATTATTAGCATCTATTTACTTCAGTTTAGGGCCTTGTTACTTAGCTTTCTCTGTTTATATTTGAATGTACTTACTGTTTATAATTTTAATAAGCTTATTCACATTGTTTATAATTTTTAGTCTAAATATTATGTAACTTGCACAATTCTCTATCTTTTTGTATCTTGTCCGTTCTAGCCCTGAAGAAGACCTGCAAAGTCGAGTCGAAACGTTGGATTTTGATAAAATAGTTTTGTCACTATTTAGCCTATTTATGACCGCCACCCTGGACCATCTCCTTCCTTGATATTCTTTTTTCTTTTATGATTGCAGATCAATGAGGTGGCAGGGATGGGGAGGTGCCTGACGGCGAGGAGGGAGATAAGGGTCGGGGAGGTGGTGCTGAGGGAGCGGCCACTGGCCTCGGGGCCCCCCCAGGTCACCGGCCCGGTCTGCCTCGGCTGCCTCAACGGCCTCCAGGGGCCGGGGGTCGACTGCCCCCGCTGCGGCTGGCCCATGTGTTCCTCCGCCTGCGCTGCATCTCCCGGTCATCGTCCAGAGTGTCACTGGGCGCAAGTCAAGCGCAAGGAGAAGGTATTACAACAATCCAAACTATAACTATAACTATAACTATAATAAAACTATAACTATAATAAAACTATAACTACAATAAAACTATAACTCCTGGAACACCATATTTCCCACGTATACCGACGTTCAATATCCATCCTGAAACTCTTGCATCGCTTCCGCCATCTCCTACCCATGTCCACACGTAGACTCCTAGTATCCGCCCTCATCTTTCCCCACATTGACTGCGTAGTGTACTGTGGCCTCTCGTCGGATATTTGAGACAGACAGAAATAATGAATAATGAACTATAACAGAAATAAAAGAATAATGAATGGCTTGGTACGATTTGTCAATGGAACCCCGAGACGTTCTCATGTTTCCCACTACTACGCTGAGTTAGGGCTCTTTCCCTCTTTCAGAAGACAGCATTTCCTAGGTACATTCCTTTACCAAATAATCTATAATCATCGTCCGTCCTATTCATTCAATCTCCTTCAATTCAAGCCATCTATCCACTCCCTCTCCACAAGACCTCGTCCTTCTGACCTTTATACACCTTTCCACAAATCGGCCTCATTTCAACATTCATTTATTGTCCGCTCCACCACCTTTTGGAATTCCATCCCTCTTAAAATCCTCCATGTACCATCCTTATCCATATTTAAAACCCTCTTATTCCAATTCAATCAGACGCTGGGTAGCCATTTATCATGTATATTATATATGTATATAATCTCCTCTATATCTATTATTATCTTTTATTTTTTCTCCTATCAATCAACATCTTAGAATTTAGATTATATAGGACTTGTATAATGTTTACAATACTATTATTGTATTCTTTGAACATATTAAGGTACATATGTAAATCATTTAACCTAAATATTTATCCACTCTTTTATTATTATTTTTTTCATTAATACGATGGTATGACAACAAAAGTAATTTTTCGCTCATTTCAATTTTCATTCAGAATTCCATTGTTTATTGTTTATAGCAACTATTTTGCAGTATTAAGACCTTATCGCTCATATTATGTCTTTAATATGTTAAAATGCTTTAAAATATTGAATAGAGCTAAAAATAAAAAGCTCTGATTTAATTTTACTGTAAAAAAACAATAACACTGGGTGTTACAATAGTACGAGTTATGAATGAGCAGGCGTACGAGGACGTACGAGGCTCGAGTACGAGGATTTGTCAAAGAGAGCGCGGCAACACTGTCTTCCTCTCTTGTTTTCCTTCAGTATGTTTTTAAGTTGCTTGTTGAGATGTCAATAGCAAATGTTTTATTTCTCTTTTTTTTCTGCTCATACATGATCTTGTTTTTTTCCCCTGATCATGCCTGGATTGAATTGAAGCGTTAGCAAGTTAAATGTTCACTTTCAGGAACTCATGCCTTTATAGTTCAGATTGTCCCATTTATAGTCTATTCTCGAGCTCTTTGCCTATTTTAATTGTTTAAATTATTAGCTTTATCAATAATAAAAAAGAAAAGAAATAATATGGATCCATGAATTTCCTTATGGGGAGATAGCGCACAACATGTGTATATATATATATATATATATATATATATATATGTATACATTTTTGCATTTTCACAAATTTAAGTAATAGTTTCCAAGGTATCAAATCTAGCTACTACATTCAGTTACAATTTTAACAAATTTGGCAATAAATGTAACATGTTTAGAATAAATGTAACATGTTTAGTATAAATGTGCAGATTTTTTTATATTATTCGGTGTTTTGAGTAAAAAGTATAAATAATTAATTATTTAGTACAATTCACTTTTCGATTAAAATAATGATAATAAAAGTTTCGGTTGTTTAGTTACTTTATTAATATATAAAATTTTTTTTTATCTTCTAGGTGGGTGTCTCCTTCCTGGGTCCGCTTGTACACCTATGATTGGGTAAAAACATAAATTATCTAATATTGTACAAAAATTAGAGCAAAGCAGCCCACTTTGATGGTACTGGATAATTTTTGAAAATAAATTTATCATAGAGTTAATGTGAACTAAACTACTTGCAGATAGGCGATATAATCTATGGGAGTTAGTGAGCCAGCGCGGAGCATGGGGCAGAAACAAGCTTATTCCAGTAGCTCCTCTTCACTTTAGATAATTGGACTTCTAAAGTTTCTCAAGGAAAGTGAGTTCACCTCTTCGGGTGAGAGGAGGGAGGGCAGGTTAGGTGTAGGTATTGGCGGATCTATGGAGGGAGAGGGGGACTTAAGGGTTGAAGGCCCCCCAAAATAAAAAAATTATTTTGTAGTCCGTTGGTCGATAATTATTACTTTAATCTTCTCAAAGTATAAAGTATATCAAGCTACTAAATGTAAGCACGTGTCGAGAAAAAATATATAAAATTTTGTTTATAAAAGCATTATTTTAATTATGGTATTTATTTTAAACAGAGCTTTAAGGGCCACTTCAACATTATAATATTTGGATATTTTCTTTATTTTTTCTTCTTCCAGAGTAATTAGGTTTCTATAAAGAAAAAAAAAAAAGAAAATCTCCTTCCAAAATAAAATCCCTGATCCGCTACTCAGTACAAAATGTACAAAAAATGCATTTTGGAATTAACTTAAAATTATTTGTAGCTTATACAAACTCTGACGGTATTTATTGTGAAAGCTATTTGATAAAATATTAAAAAAACCGTTTTATGAAAAAATTCGTGTATGTCCAATGGATTGTACAAAGATTGACTTTAAACAATCTGTAATATCTTTATTTTGTAAGCTAGATTCTTTTTTTATTTATCTCTAAGACGATTGTCTTAAATATTATATTCAAGCCCACAGTTCAATATCGTATATATTTAATTCAGTTTAATAGTACCTAATATGCACCTACCCTTAAAAGTCAGGAGTAAGCGGGAACAAGATATCTTGAAGCCTCATTACACAAGCAGTAGAGGAAGTAGAGATAATGGGACATACGAGACATATTTTTTTACAGGATTGTCTTAGTGATGTTACTTTCGATAGAAGTTAAAAATTATTCATGATGCAAATTTTACAATGTTTAGTGAGTCATGAATGTTGGATGAGAATGATAATTGAATAAATATTTGAAAAAAATAAGAACATCTATTTCTAAGGCAAAATAGTTACTAATACTTGACAATCTTAGTTACTATATGTAAATAATTGATATAACTAATATACTTTTGTATTTAACTCCTCTAAGTTGTCATTCGGGTTTAGTTAGGTTTATTCTATCTAAAAAATTCAATAATATCTCTACAGTAATAAGCTAATATGGAATTGCAAGACTTACGAGAATCTTAAATAAGACCAAGACCGAGTTCGCAAGACCAAGACTCGTCTCGGTCTCGCATTTGGGCAACACTAATTATAGCAGGGTAAGTGCACACCTTCACAGAGATTTGCTCTTACACATACTGTCAGTAGCGTACAAAAATAAGAAAACTGTCAAGGAGAAAAGTAAAGCATTAATTATTACTTTTCTAATTACTTTTTTATTACAAGTAGAAAAAAAAACAGTTAACAGTTAGAAAACTCTTGTGATTTTTAGATTTTCGGTATTAAGGATTCATCCCAAGTAAAGGACAACTCATACCAATTCAGGATTTGTATTGGACGATTATGAACTCACACCTAAATCGCACTTATCCGCATGAGTTATTAATGTGATCCTGTAGTTAACAGGTGCCCAGAAAAAAATCTCGAAATGTTTCTAAGATAATTATTTTAGATTTGCTTGATATAATTATTTGTGTCTCCATATAATGTAAATATTTACACTACCCCTTGATTATAATAATATTTTTTGCTCTTAAATGTTACTAGCAAAATATTTAAATAAAAGACATGATTTCTGTTTTTAGGTAAAAATATCTAATTTCACAACACCTCACCCGACTTACGCTTGCATCACACCATTGAGGCTGCTGTACGCCAAGCACACGGATAGCAAGCTCTGGGCTAAGATCTCCTCCCTCGAGAGTCATCCGGAAGAAAGGAAAAAAGACGGGAAGTGGGAACAGGAGAGGTTCGCGGTGGCCAAGCTGTTGCGGAGGTTCTACAAATTAGAAGAAGAAGTAACGGAGGATGAGATATTGGAGATATGCGGCATTATTCAGGTGATGTATCAGTATTGTGAAAATACTCATACTGATAATGATTAAGGGAAATATTCGGATGCTTTTTAATTAATTTAATTATTTTCGTTCGTTATTATAATAACGTTATACGTTATTTCGTAATTTATCCTTTAGATCTGCTACAAAGACTTTAGCTATTCGAGGTATCCAGGTCAACTGATCGAACATCATACTTAATTTCTCTGGTAGGTAAACTCAGGAGTTAGATAATGGTACAACTTCACTAATGATTTTGCGTTACGAAAAATATATCAATGATATTTTTCTTTAAGATATTAAGATCTAAAATAATTGAATTTATAAATTTTTTAAGTTTTTACAGTTCTGAATAAAATCAATAGTTTAAACTATACATTAAAAAAAATACATTAAAAATAGGGATAGTGTTGAAATATAAATTATTATAAAGTATTTGTTATGATCTTTTCTTATAGTATGAATCAGAATATTATAGGTACACCATTAGAAATGATTTTTAAAATTTAAAAATTTATTTAGGGTTTTTAAAATGTAAATTTATTAAAAATGACAATTAAATTACATTAAATTAATTCATTTTATAAAATTAAATTAAGTTGTCCAAAACTTTACAATAAATAAGAAGTGGGTAGAAGTATGAAGGAATATTATTAAAAATTCCATATTATACAATCTTATAGAATAATCTTTTTTTTTAATAGAAAAATAACTTTATTCTGGGACACAGTCCCTTGAGAATAACAAATTAGAACAAAATTAAAATATTACATCTGGCCAAAACAAAATAAATCGAAAAAAAGAAATAATGTAAAAAAAATATAAGGTAAAAACTCTATATACAAAACAAACTAAACTATATACAAAACCATTAATACTATTACAAGAAACTTAAAGCTATTTAGACCAGTATACACTTTTCCGAAAAAAATAAAGAATTAAAAAATAAAAATATATCAAATTCTCTATTAAAATCCGCTCGAATGGTTAGCAAGTATCTGACTGTTTTTGTGATAGGAATTGGAATAGGAGGGATTTGAATGTGGCTATGGAGGGGGAATGTCGAATTTTGATAGGGAGGGAATTCCAGAAATTGACAGAGCGAACAATAAAGGAATTTTGGAATGAGGCAGATCTGTGAGAAGGCATGTAAAGGTCAGAAGGTCGAGATCTTGTGGACAGGGAATGGACTGAGGTTTTGAACTGGAGAAGGTTGTAGGCGTAAGAAGGACGATGGTTGTTGATGATTTGGTAGAGGAACGTACCTAGAAAGTATTGTCTTCGGAAGGAGGGGTAGAGCCACCTTAACTCAGTGTAGTGGTGAGAGACATGGGAGTACCTCGGGGCACCAATAACAAATCTTACGCAGCTATTCATTAATCTTTTCAGTCTATCACGGAGCTCCACCGAGAGGCCATCATACACCACACAGCTGTAGTCAAAGTGGGGGAAGATGAGAGAGGAAATTAGGAGTCTACGGATATGTTGAGGTAGGAGATGGCGGAAGCGATGAAATAGTTTAAGGGTAGAGATTGTCCGACGGGAAATGTGAGAAATATGGTTGGTCCAGGAGAGGGTTTGATCTATGAAAAATGCTAAATTTTTAACAGAGGAGTAGAAGGAAATTGGCTGGTCATTAAGGTGTAATATGGGAAAGTCAGTATGGGATCTAATGAGGGGCTTGGAACCAATGACGATGGCCTGAGTTTTGGCAGCATTTAACTTTAATCCATTTACATTTGCCCAGGCATTGATTCGATCAAGATCTTCTTGTATCTTGGCAAATGCCCCCAGTAACTCAGAGGGAGAAAAGGATAGGTAGATCTGGGAATCATCTGCATAAAGGTGATGGGAACAATGGAAAATTGATTTAGGTAGGTCGTTAATGTAGGAGCTGAAAAGGAGAGGAGATATGCTTGAACCCTGGGCAACTCCAGAGGATAAAGAAAGGAAAGCAGATAGTGGTTGGTTGGGTATGGAGACTGCTTGGGTGCGTTGGGAGAGGAAAGATTGGAACCAAGAGATGGAACTATTGGAGAAAGATAATGATTTTAGTTTGTTGAAGAGGATGGAATGGTTGATGGAATCGAAAGCTTTGGAGAAGTCTAGAAGAATAAGGACAGTTAATTTTCTATCATCTATTGCAGATTGAATGTCGTTGGTAATTTTAATTAAGGCAGATTGTGTGGAATAGCCGGGACGGAAACCAGATTGGAGAGGATCAAATTGGTTGGAATTTTCGAGGAACTTGGAGACTTGGGATTGCACCAGTCTTTCAAGAGGCTTTGAGAGGTTAGAAAGAATTGAAATTGGACGGAAATCTTCGGGTGAGGATGGATTAGGCTTTTTATTTAAAGGAAGGACAATGGCTTTTTTCCAAGAGGTAGGGAATACTGAATTCTGAAGGGAGAAATTGTAGATAAAAAGGAGAGCTGGGAGGGTTTCAGGTAGACATATTTTTATTAATTTGACAGGAATGCCGTCTGGCCCTATGGAATTGGTATGGGATTTCATTAACGCGGTTAACAAGTCTGTGGGAGAAATGTCGGAAAAATAAAAGTTATTGTCGTTAAAGGATATCTCTGGAGCAAAGCCAGAAGAGGAAGGTAGAGAAGAGGTATTAGCGACAGATATAAAATAAGAGTTTAAATCATCGGAGGATACAGGATAGGCTGCGGTAGGGGATCTGGAAGGATTACCAATGGAAAGTTTACGAAGCAGTAGCCATTTCGATTTGATATCAGGAGGTGAGGAAAGGGTTTCATGGAAGTAGGAAGTTTTCGCACGCCGGATCCTTGTCTGTGCCAAGTTGCGAAGCACCCTGAACGCTTGGTAGTCATCTGCAAGCCTCGTACGTCTAAAACGTCTTCAGGCAGCGTCGCGCCTCTTCTGCAGATCTTTGATTTCCTGACACATCCAAGGAGCAGGCCGGTGACGAAAGGTAGAGGTTTTGAGGGGAGCATGGGTATTGAGAATATTGAGAAGATCGGTGGTAAGAATGTCAACCATGGAGTCGATGGAAGAGCAAGAATATATTCCGTTCCAGTCTAGGGTTTCTAGGTCAGGTAATATTTTTTCTCGAGTAAGGGAATCTAGGTGACGGAAGGTGATAGTTCGAGGGTGGATTGAAGGAGTTTGGATATTATATGTTATTTGTATAAGATCGTGAGATGATAAGAATGATACTGGCAATTGAGAAGAGGAGAGGAGATTTTGTACAGAGTCTATAATGTAGAAGTCTAACCAAGTGTCTGACCTGCTGGTGTGGTGGGTGGGGGAAAATGGAACTATGAAGAGGTGCAGAGAGAAAATTAGGTTTTCTAGATAGGATTTGTCATTGGAGTTAGAGAGGAAATTGGTATTGAGGTCACCGGAGATGATTATTCTGGGATATAGAGGAACGAAGTTGAATAGGGTTGATTCGAAGGACTGATCAAATGGAACATGGGGAGGACGATATACCACAGTGTAAAGGAGAGGAAGATCCATACAATGGATTTCTACTAGAAGGTATTCAACCTGAGGATGATCGGAGGGTGGTGAGGAATCGAGAATTCGAGTCTTCAGGCTATTATGGACAAACATGGCTACTCCTCCGGCATTCCGGCTTACCCGATCATGACGGAGGAGGGTGTGATTAGGCAAGGAAACAGAAGAGGAAGGGATGTAAGGTTTAAGCCAAGTTTCCGAGATTGCGATAATATGATAAAAGTTTTGAGTGAAATATTGCAGGAACTCGTCATAGTGGGCAGGGAGGGATTGAGAGTTAACATGACAGGTGATTAGGGTACTAGACATGAGAGGAATTGGAAGGGAAACAGTCAGAGTTTGGTAGAGAAACTCTAAAACAAATAGAAAATCTTGAGTGGGTTGGCTCAGTGACTAAGCTGATCTTATAAATAAATAAGATCTAAACTTTTTTTATCTATGTAGTACATTAATTATTGACTATTGTCTAACCTTAGCTTCGGATAGATTGTTATGCGGGATGGTATACTATGTTTGCCTAGTCAAGTTCATTTTTGAAAAACATGTATCAATAAATTATATTTCACAGTTATTTGTTTGCCTTATGACCAGTTTAAAATAACCGAATAGTTTTCGATATACGGTAAATAAATCAGTGTGAAAAAAAATACTTCATTTATGACTAACGTTTCGGGATTGTTTTCCTATCAAGATGGCTAATATATTTGTTTGCTAGGTTTAAAGAAAATGAAAGACATATTAGACGTTAATTTTTTTAATTGCGTCGTTTTTCATTCTAATTAGCAAAATGCCGTAAACCTATGACCTCCTGTCCTACAGTATTTTTTAATAATACCATTTGGACAAACGTCTAACTTGGACGTTTGGACCTCATACCAGACTGAAACGACAAGAAACCGCTCGACGCTTCCGACTACTCCAACTAACTAGACAAACGTTCTAAGCTTCCAGTTAATTACAAAAGAATCATATACATGACTACAATAAGACCCTATTTGGACTTACGGAGTAGAGCTTTGGGGCTCCACTAACCCATCGAATTCCTCTCGAATCCAATCCTTACAATCCAAAATCCTTTGGAAAATCTTCAATGCTCCTTAGTTTACGACCTTAATTTTGTTTCCGATTTGGTCCAATCCAGATACCAATCCTTCCATAATAAACTTCAGAACCATCCGAATCCTCTCGTCTCTAACATTGCTTCCTCTTCTATCCCTAATAACCCCCCGAGGCGTCTAAAATGAAGATGGCCTCGAGATCTCCTTGTAAATACATTTTTTTGTTTAGAGTGCTACCAGTGGGTAGTTTCTCAACAAGTGATTTCATGTTATTATTTTCTGTTATCAAATTTACTAAATGTACTTTATTTATTAATACATTTGTAAATATCATAAATTAAAAAAAAATAGCAAAACATTCAATTACAATATGGAGTGTTACCGGATGTAACTGTTAATCTTGCGGCCATGTTAATGAAATGATTCTCTTGATTGTGGCTGGCACATCAGGTATACTGTGCCGCATTGCAAACCACCCGAGCTTCCATTTACACTAAGCAGACTTTAGTAATGAAGAGAACCAATCCATGTTGCAGATCAATGGCCACGAGGTCCCGCTGAGCGAACCAGGGACGATATCCCTCTACTGGAAAGGTTCCCTGCTGGAGCACAACTGCAGGCCCAACTGCAGCAAGTCGTTCACGGAGAGCGGGGACCTGCTGATCAGGGCGGCGGTAGCTATATCCCGGGGGGAGCGCCTCTCCATCTGCTACACCGACGCGCTCTGGGGTTCGCCCTCCAGGATGATCCATTTGCAGCAGACCAAGTACTTTCAATGTCGGTGTAAGAGGTGCAGTGATGTCACCGAGTTCGGAACCTATTTCTCGGCCATATCATGCACTGATAGGTATATATATATGCATAAGTAGTGCTACAATGAATACTTGCTTTATGAATGCTACTTTATTGAATACTTAATAGTTGACCGTTGCATTATAAAGGAAGGAAATGGTTTGGGGTGGCGGTCATAAATAGGCTAAATAGTGGTAAAACTATTTTATTGAAAGCTGACGTTTCGACCCGACTTTGCAGGTCTTCTTCAGGGAGTTTCACTTAAAACTGATTTTAAGACTCGAGTCAGTTTTCAGTGAAACTCCTTGCTGAACACACCTCCCTGAAGAAGACCTGCAAAGTCGTGTCAAAACGTTGGTTTTTAATAAAATAACTTTGCCACTATCTAGCCTATTTATGACAGCCACCCCAAACCATTTCCTTACTTTATAATGCAACGGTCAACTATTAAATATTCTATAATAACTATAATTCGTGTTACCTCCTTGTTCTTTTCTATTCGTAACCACTCCTCTATAAGTGTATCGAACCACCGCCATCTCGAACCATCTCCTTCCTCTCATTTGCTTTATTTTTTAATTAAATCAAACACTACATTTTTTACTTACACGAAATGAAATAACCAGACTGAGAAGGGCGAATAGTGTGTCAGGCTACTCGACGATCCTTCTGAACTCACCGAACTGGAAGATGGTAGATACACTGGACAGTGGAAGTTCCTAGAGAAGATAGAAGGCCAAGAGACCTATACTCGAGTTATAGTGACAAGGAGATAAATAGATTGACGAGAATAAATGAAATAGTGATATCACTTTAGTGTGACTAATATGAGTCTTTCAGTGGACAGAATGACTAACTCCAAATTCAGTATTTTTGAGTAAACTCATTGTAGTGTTATTTCTAGTAGGAAAATATATATCTGTACAGAAAGTGAGTAAGCTGATTCCAGAGTAAGTGATTGCAGTGTTGAAATATAGAACTGTGATTAAAGTTATAAATTTTCTCACTAGATATATCACTATAATTAATCATAAAAAATGTTTAAATTGGAGTAAGCCACTCTGTAAACTGAAAGACTCGTATTTATTATAATTTTCAGTTGTCAGTAACTGCAAACTATAGCTAAGGTTTCACGACTAGTGCTGCAATTTCTCAACCTCTACTTCATTTCGTTAAAATGATCACAATCAGTAACTTTATAGCTAACCTCTGTGCAGGTAAAAGATTCGAGTCATATTGTCACAACTATTAGCATATTTATTTCCATGTATACCGCAATAATTATTTGTGTTACTAAACAATATTTTGTATCCTATATTATATATAAGGCTGGCTTGGAGTCACTTGATTAATAGTTCTTTATTTTTTTATATGAAAAATACCAAGGATTCGATTACGCCCATAGCAGTAATCCTGCATTAATGTTTGAAGGTTAACGATCGAATACTTTTGGACTCTAACAATCCTTGTTGGACAAGTTTAAATCTATGTTGTGAATTACCACTACAAAATTGATATGTAACACATCAGATTTATACGAATTCAACATAAATTCAAATCAGTGGGCATATTCTGATCTACCCAGAGAATGTCACGAGCTCGAAAACCCCGAAGAAAAGCTATTACAGGAAGTAACGAACAATGAATAGTTCACTTGCTTTACACATAGATCATAGATCGATCACGTTACATCAGGATCACCAAAACTACATGTTATGAACTGCATGTATAAGTGTTATACACGAGGGTTATAAATGTTGAAATTTATTTCTTGGCGGACCTATGGAATGAATCTCCATTTTTCCATTCGGTTAGAATAGGCTGGTCATGTGTTGAAGGGAGGAAGTAGTTGCTAATTATTTTTCTTTTGTTATTATTTTAAATTTAAGGTCTCAAAAAAGTATACCTGGGATAGAAATGAAGGTTGCATATTCAAATATAATATAGTTGTTCAGGGATCAACTCCTAAAACACTAAAAAATGAAAAAAATATTTATATATAATCCTGGACCTCACCACCGTTTTATTAGCCTCCATTTTGATGTTAATTATCCATGAACAGTTAAGTCAAGGCTGCAGTGAAGTGTGCACATTCATTCATATTTATCAGACATTATTAAAGAACTATGATGTTCTAAACCCAAGTAAAACAATCTGTTGGAGGAAGACTGGGGAAGAAGAGGATGCCATGAAAATCAAGGTCATTTTTAAACTCCAAGTGAGTCCACCTTCAGCGCAGTGTAATTTTTGCCTGCAGCAGAATTATTTCATTTTCAATCCTACAATCCATAATATACAGCACAAATTTTATTTTATCTTTGTTTGTATTCATTATCATTGATATAATCTTTTGTACTTTCACAAATGTTTAATTTCAATGATCCAACCCTTATACAGTTCACACAATTGAAACACGAACCAACCCAAAATTACACTTTGAGATCAATGGGTAATATTTGGCTAACCATCACAAAACAATAGTAATTATGTTAAAGAGAAGTTGGTTGGGGTATTCAGTCAAAGAAACGACAAAATAAAAATGAATAAATATAATTTATTTATCTTTACATTGTCCTTTCTAATCAACGTTTTATTTAGCACTGTCAACTATCAATTCACTATAGTTATTATGCTTTGCTTTATTTTTTAAACCTATATGTTAGTCTTCATTACCTATTTATTGGTGCTTCTGTTGCAGTGATTGCAAAGGTAAGCTATTGCCTCCTTCTTTCTTTAACTTGGGCTCAAACTGGAGCTGCAGCAAATGCTCCTCTAGCGTGGATGAAAGTCGGGTCACCGAGGTGCTGTCCAAAGTTGCAGTCCAACTGGTCGAAGTTGACAAGAAGAGTGCGACCTCTTGCAAGAACTTCCTTCAGAGCACGAGAGACCTCCTCCCCGAGAACCACTTCCAGAGGGTAGAGGTGAAGCTGGCCTTGGTTCAGCTGATCGGCCAAAGTTCTGGAGGGTTGGCCACGGTCAGCGACGAATGGCTGACTATCAAAGAGTCATTGGCTAGGGAACTGATTGCACTGTCAGCGCTTCTGTTTCCAGGTATCTTAGCTTTTATTGTATATTTCAATAAGCTTGTTGTTGAAATTGTAGCTTTCTTATCAACATTAAAAACCTTTAATAAACAGGCGTCGATGATAGAAATGCTAACCTCAGTCACCTAAGAATTAAATACCATATACAGCAACAAGTTTAATTGCAGTAGTGAGTTGTATCACAACACACTGTAAGCACATGCATTGTTGTCCATTACTGCAAACATTCGTATTGCTTAACGGATAGAGTAGGATTTTAAGTAACTCTTAACGTATCTACAAATCAGAAAGGCTTTTTCCTAAACATAATAAATCATTCAGTTTTGTGCTTTTTTAATTTTTAAGGAGGATGGCCTGGGACGTCAAAATGAAAAGACAGACATTAAACAATCGAGTGAAACTCAGACAAAAACTAAATGCATAAACATACCTAAAAAAAATCCATATGAACATACACCTCACAGAGAACAGTGTTCACGAACACACGTTATGAAAACATTTGGAAAGCACAATGTGTTACAACATCACAAGCATGAATTAAGATATTGTGAACACTTATAGACATTTCTGAACTAGTGGTTTCTAACTTGAGAAATTGGGTTAGAACTGTTTGATACTATGGATGTTAATTTGCACATAGAATCAAATTACCAGAGCTGTCTCGTCCCTCCACGCTAACTGTTAATTATCCTGATACTGACATTGCTGTTAATTGACCAAGAGCCTAAGAGCCTTTTCAGCTCCTACCTCCACGTGGTTGTAACCTGGGCTTCTTAGCAGGCGCATGGGATACGGTGGAGTCGTAGGATGTATTCTCTGGAGTCGATTAAAAAATACAGACAACTGGATTTACGGTTCACTTCTCCAACGATCACAGTGGGCCAACTTAAGGACAACTTTAAGTAAAAAATATTCAGTGGAACCTTGGTTTTTAATATTAATGCAGTATTAATATTTTAGGATTTACAAATAGGGTTTGAACAGGTAGAGAAATTTAGGTTTCTAGGTTCTACGATAACTAGAAAAAAACGAAATTGAAGTTATGTTTACATTCTTATACAAAGTGAATGACTGTATAATGCTAGTTAAATTTAAAAAAAAATTATCTTTTTTAGAAATATAACTGCTAAAAATAATGTGATCTTAGCACTGCATTTCATTGAAAAGTATTTCATAATTTGGAAAATATGATGATATGAAATGTTGTATAATTAAAGATTGTTATATTACAATAAAAAAAATAGATTTAAAGGGTGTCGAGAAAATGACTTTAGCGAAGTTTCATTGAAATCGATACATTCGTTTAGGCGCTATAGTCTATAGCAACGTAGGTTTTTCTGCATTTTTTTTTCTCCTTTATTAACTTATCAATTTATTTTTTTATAACTCTGAAAAATGCGAAATGGTCAACTTTTTAAAATAAACCATATTAAAGGTACTTTAGAGGAAAACATATGTGAACATTGAGCATTTAAGACCCGTAAAGTGACATCAACCGGGATAAGACTTAAATGATATTAAATACCACTTAATTATACAATGATACGCCGAGTTTAATCAAAATCGTTAGAGCCGTTTTTGAGAAAATTGTAAAAATTTGTTTCAGCGTTCATATAAAGTGGCACTTCCGGTTAGCCGATTTTAGCAAAAAAGTTGCTGTTACATCCGGTCCATATACAAACCTTAAATACTTAATATCGGTTTTGTACTACTTTTCGTTTATGAGCTAGACTGTTAACAAACACACACAGACACACAGACCATTTTGCGACACTTTTTGGACTCAGGGGACCTCAAAACATGTAGTTCCGTTGAAAACTGAGATTCAAAAATTTTCACGATCGCAATACTTACCCTTACTATATATTACATATACACGTTAGTGAAAGTAAAAATAATAAGAGACGGTTATATGAGGGTATAAAAAATAGTTAAAACATTGGATAAAATATTACTAAAACTTTCAATCAGCTATAAGTCAAAGAAAAAAAAAAAAATCTAAGAATGTGTCATAAATAATTTTATTTTAAATTTTTTCTTCTCCTTCCTCGACTTTAGACTATACGGGGTTTTTCCTGGGCCGGGGGAGAGGGAGGAGAATTATGCCAAGTTATAAGTCCCATCGGGCATTGGGATTTGAACTCAATTATATTTCCATAGTTACTTCGTTTATCAGGTTGCTGAGCAACCCGCGGTAGTGTATACACGAAATAAATAACTTAACAATTTTGTTACCTAAACCTTGCTAACACCTGAATACCGTTTTTTGATAAATTATTGTAGAAAGTTCCTAGCTTTTTATATATGTTGTAACCCTTATTTAGATATATATTTTTGCATACAAAGTCAGTATATGTACCTATTTATAGTTATTTACTTTAATTAACTCGGCATTTTGCAGCTGAATGCAGGCTGCGAGGTGTGGTCTACTTTGAACTTCACGCTGCAGTAGCAGAGCGGGCTAGGCGAGAAGCTTCAAGAGGTGGCGATACTTCAGTACCAGAGCACTTACTTGTAAGTATAATAATAAAAAAAAGAATGTTTCAGTCTATGGTAGAAAAATAATTCTTCAATAAGAAAATGATCCCAAGCAACTTAATTATTTTTAGAAGATGTTCCATTATCATGAACTCTATAACCAAAACATCCTTGTTCCCGGTTAGATGAGTAAATAAATTTCTATGAATTTATTTTCATTTCCCCAGAGTATATATTTTCCATACTGAATATTTTCTTTTTTAAAATAGAAAGATGTTTTCTTTAACATGTGACGAAAAATTGTCCTTGTTTCTTCCGCATGTAATATTGTTCTAATGAGGGATAAATTTGACTTGCTTCAACACTTGATCAAATTTATCAACTTCACTTCCGTTCTCTTTATAACAGGATAGCTTTCTTCAAAACTGATGCATTCGACAAGCCCTTTAATAATTGTACTACATCCTATGATAAATGTACTTATACCCACATAAGTATTGGAATTCCGAAAAAGCTCTAGAAATCTAAAATTAATGGCGTGAAACGCTGTAATAAATTTCTGATATACGGCTACGAGAACTGGATACCTTACCTTACCTTACCAGCATCGTAGGAAGAAGTGTTGAATGATTTGAGAAGAAAATCCTCCTCATGATATCCTAAGCAATCAGAGATCTCAGTTTTAATACATGGAGAAGAAGGAAAAGTACAGCACTGCTTACAGAAACTAGTCGATCAATCTACCATGATATGAAATAATAGTGGATTCATGGTTGACTGTAGTGAATAATAGAAGAGAAATTGGTTGAAATGTTCAGTCAAATAAGTGTTCAGTTTTTTTACTGAATACCCCAACCAACTTCTCTTCAATTACCGTGATATGCAGTTTAAGATAGGTGAGACTTGTAGCTCATGCCAATATATCAGGAGTCTTCTACAAAACAATGAATGTATCAATAGTTGGCGAGAAACGACGTTGAAGTCAACATCCAGATCGATAGATCGAATCAACAAAGATGTTGCAGAGCAGCTGCCAGAAACCTGGAAAGAAATAATCAAGGATCGGCAGAGGTAGAGAAAGCAGGTTAAGATCTACAAGTTCAAGCCAACTACATTCCTTTGGAATACCATTACTCTTCTAATATGTAATATTCCCTCGCCTTATTTGAATATGGATGCTGGACTCATTATCATTGTTCACAAAACAATGCATAGATCAACAGGTAAAAGAATGAAATTGAACTTAACGATTTGAGTACCGATTAAGAGAACGAAAGAGTGAGTGGAGAGTCAAGAGTGGTTAGAATACGGCCCACGAATCAGCTCTACCTTCATTAGAAATGAATTTTCTTTGGTTAAGAGTGGCCACTATTAACTCAATTTAGGGAGCCACTATTTTTTTTTCCGCTGAGACTTCATTCGCTAATCAGACAGATAATTCAATTTTTTCACTATTTTGGGATTTATGTTGAGTTTCCTAGCAGGTATCTCTTGAGTATAAATATATTGACGAATTGTTTCATTAGATTTATCTCGAAATTTTCAAGCACTGCGTTTTCCGAAGGCAATACTTTATAGGTTGCCGTTTATGACTCTTGAGATCCAAAATAGTCTTCAAATATTCTTAATTTGCTCACTCAATTTTCCTTTGTCCACTCTTACTATGACACAGGGGTCTCCAAACTGTTTGGACCGCTGTCTGTATTGAAACTTCGATTAAGTTCCGCGGGCCGCGCTGAGACCTACACCTGTCACAAGTCTCTTGGACCATGGGCTTGTGATGGAAAAAAAAATCCTTGTTATATAAATGACACTTCAGTTGTTAAATGAGCTTTCTAAAAGAAATGATTGTTGTAATAACCTATTACGTAAGAAATTTGCTAAATTTCATATTTTAAAATAGTTTTTAACATTTTACCACGTAATCAAAGAAGCTTTCGCGGGCCGTAGTTTGGAGAGCCCAGGTATAACCTCTATCTGTTAATTCTGTCTTTAGAAATATTTCATTATTTGTGTTGTTTAAACTGGCCTGCTCAGAAGAATTTCTTATTTATCTTTTCATTGCTGGCTATCGGAGCATTGGTGATAAGTTTTGCTCACTAATAATAATAATAACTATAATTCGTGTTACCTCCTTGTTCTTTTCTATTTGTAATCATTGCTCCATAAGCGTAATTTAAATACTACCTTTTTCTATAATTCTTTTATCTTCAATCTATCGCATAAAGAATTGCTTCACTTTAACGTTTTTATTATTGCTATATTAAGTCGTGTCGTTTAAGAATTATAAATAAAAGAAGCTGTTGGGTAGCTTTGGGAAGGGAAATGGAAGACGCCTCTGGGGACCAAGCTAATTATCCTAATGCTGAGACTAAGTAAGTAATTTCACTTATCAAAGGAAGATAACAAAATGTAAAAGCCGCTTCTATTTCCCTCCCCACCCCTCAAGCTCTCGCCAACTTTTTAATTTGGCTAGGCAAGCTTTAGTTCTTCACACCCCTAATTGTTAGTAATCTTCTTACGTTAAGATAGGGTTTTAAATTTATAATCTAGAATTCAATGTAATGTAATAAACCTTTTTTGAAATACCTATCTCTCTATTATATATATAAACAAGTTTTTAGTGACTTATTTATTTGGTCTCTACTTCCTTGCCTTTTAGGCTATACGGGTTTTTTCCCCGGCCGGATGGGATCGCGGGAGAATCATGCCGAGTTAAAAGTCTCACCGAGCACCTGGATTTGAACTCGTGATTATTTTTCAAGTAATTATTAGATTTCTAGGCAACGCATTATTATTTTTAATTATTTTTTATTTCGATTGATTAAATAATAACATAAAAATATTAATAAGATGTATTACATAAGGAAGGTGGTTAACTATCGAATTCTGATCGAAACACATCACTCGGCTGAAAAGGAAATCATTGGAAAAAAATCTGAAAGATTATCAGTTTAAATTGTCTTACCACGGTTGTAAATAATTGTTCGGTTGAACTCTTCGAAAACGGCCATTAAAGAAAAAGTTATGGAAACTTGAGAAAGGGCCATTATTGTTTCGGGAAGAGAGGATAATTATGATGGTTAGGGTTTTAGCACAAATCGGAGATATCAAAGGCACAAATTAATTTCAATGGCTAAAATCGATTTCATTTAATTTCATTCAGGATGTTGGAGAGATGTATCAAAGGACTTGGATTCTCCTTTTTTTTTAGTTTATCTGTTAATTAATTTCTGAGGAAGTGTAAGTAAGTAGATAACTGTAAACTATCTTCTCACTATGAACATTACCCGAAATTAAAATAAAGTGTAATATAAAAATATTCTATTAAAATTAAATCATTATCCTGAGACATTTCTTACATCACTTAACTTAAAAATTTTTTAAACGTTTTTATCCTATATCTTCTCTTCTAATTTTTTGAGAGGTCCGGTTTGTCCCAAAAGTAAACCTCCCTTGTAAGTTAACTAACGATTTATTTTTCTTTCACACTTGGAATTTATTTACAAATATATATATATATATATATATATGTATATATATATATATATATATATATATATATATATATATATATATATATATATACTGGATTAAAATAACGTCTTTTGATGCATTCATAAATTTAATCAGAGAGCAAGGAAATGAATTTCATCAGTTGTAAAAAAAAAAAAAAATCATCAGTTTCAAATCGGTTCCGTCCTCAATTTGCCATATTTTTGTGGACAAGCTATAATATTATGATTTATGACGGCAACCACCGACTTCCATAGTCCTTATATTTGTATTCTTAATTTCTCTAATTACCATGTATTGGCTTTATCTACCTTACTCGTTTTGAAAATTTGTCTTTTGTACAGCCGATAGGGAGTGGTAGAAAGGTTGTAAATAGGGTCAAATTAGTGCTCAAACATATAAATTTAACAAGTTATTGTAAAATTATGATAACTACAACCTTAATGAGAGGAGACCTACCGGGATAGAGCTTAGAGTTTATTTATCCAATTATAACGATTTGGTCCGAACAGAGGGCAAGACATCGGTCGTATTATAATAATAAGTAAATGAGTTTTACAAAGTTTAGTTTTTTGAACAATTTTAAATATAATATAGTGTAATAATATAATATATAGTATATATTATCGGAATAATAGTATGAGTTCGAGCTGGATTTAAGATTATATATACATATCAATACATAGAAGTAACAATATATAAGATTATATAAATAATATATAAACAGCAGTGTACGGCCAACAACAAGATAGGATAAGCATGACTAGAAAGTATAGGAGTATATGAGTATATGTGACAAGCATAGAATTACATGACATACAATTGTTATTGGAACGACTTGTAAAGCAGTATTATATGATGTACAATAAGTCCAATAATAAAGTATAATAATAATTAAATAATACTAAAGTCTAATAATAATTTTAATAATCCTTTAAAAATATTATATAAATAAAGTATTTTCTTCTTTGTTTAATTTTTGTATAAATATGAAAGAAATTAAACTTACTTTACCGATATCTTGCAGGAAACCCGTAACTACTTGGAATCGTCCATCAGTCAACTCAAATACGAACCTCAATCTCTTCCTGAAGGCAAGATCTGCAAACAGGGTATACAGAACCTGAAGGACCTCGACAAACTTTTGCAGGCTATGAATGTATCTACGTTCAGCTCTTTGTGAACTCTTGTTAGATCTATCCTTGCAAAACACGACCTGTTATTGCATACCCTACTTTAGCAATGAAGTAGTGAAATTGTCTTGTGAATCTTATAGACCAGAGGCAATGTTGAATATAGTACCTATATTGTACCCACTGGTACACATATCTGATACATTGTTTATAATGTTAATAAACTGCGAGGATTGAAAATATTGGAAAACTTGAGACTACTTGACCAGACCAAAAAATGGTGGTTTATTATGAAAACGTAGGTATAATTCACGATCCATTCAGAAGTTTACAACACTTAGACCAAATCCTGAAGCACGTTACTCTATCCCTTATGGTATGGATCCAGGTGACCACCTAGGGTCTGAGCTGCCTAATTATACAAGTCTTTAAAACAAAAATAATTTTATATTTTGATTTTCGTATTAAAATTACATTTCATGAAACCGAATATTTTGAAAATGTTATTGTGTAGTTAATTATCACATGAGAGTTCTCTGTCACCTATATCCAATTCTAGACAGAATATATTTTTTTTATCTATAAATAATATAATATTCTGCAACATGGACAATAATTATTGTAAGGTCTACATCAACACTATATGTACAGAAAAATGATAAAAGAAAGTAAATAAAACCAAACAAAGATAAACCTATATATACGAAGACAGAATAATTAATGAAGAAATTATTCAACGACCACTCCTCAATTAATTTTTTATTTCTATCTAAAATAGAAATAATTTTTACAGCATCATTTATTTACTAGAAAACCCTTTCTGCTTTCACTTAAAAAATATTAACTTATACCTGTTAATTAACTATTTCAGATGAAATTGGAATATTTCATTTGCTCAAAGTGCTCAAAAGTGTAGCTTTTCCTGGAGATTTGCGTATTTTCTATATTATTTAATTAATGATACCTAAATCTGAATAATAATTTACAAATATATTTTATCAGTTTAGATTTATACTGTTTATAATTTTAAAATATGTAATAAATTAATATAAATATGGATCTTTTCTTTTTCATCCCATTTTCTATACACAATTAATTTTCTTTTTAAAACCTTTACAACCGTCAATATTATTCAAGTCTACTAAATTTGTTACCTAAAAGGCCAATAATTCAATATTGGGATTTACTATAGGCAGAGATGGACAAAATCGGAATCAATCAAAGATTTCAAAGCATTCAACAAAGATAACTTACGTGGGCAAACTAAAAAAATTCGTGTGAGTAATTTTTCAGTTGAAGTTGAAATTCTGCAAGTTCTAAGTAAAATTAGGTGAAATCATAAGTTCATTAAAGAATTCTGTATATTAATTTATTTTTTAAATCTGCGGTGAAATTGAAACATAAACATTATTTAAGAAGTTAGCAATAAAATCTCCCATTGATGCAAGGAATTGTTCTATTGCTTATTGTAGTGTCTCTATATTGACATTCTTTATATAGTATAGTATTATATTATAGTATAGTATAGTATTATATATATAGATGTGTCTGTATATAGTTTTGTCTTGATTTCTTTCCCATTCTCAGAACTTAAATATGTATACTTTAAATACTTTTTATTTTCTACAACTTTGTTTTTTAAAGAACATTTAGTATTAATTTTTCCTTATGTATTAATTGTTTGTGGTGGAGTCAGACCTCCTCTAATTGATAGATAGAAAATAATTTTCTAGTCCCTTGAGAATAACAAAATAGTACAAAATTAAAATGTTACATTTGGCCTACATAAAAACAATAAAAAAAAACTAAATACTAGAGAAAGCATTAGGTAAACATGCTATATACAAAACAATAAAACTATATACAAAATATTTAAAACTACATACGGTAAGTGACGTATATCAAAATAATTGGTACTCAGTGGACGCAAACTTTGATGCTTTACAACTTTGATTTAATGGGTTTTTCCTCTTAAAGAACTCATTTCCAACTTACAGGGCTATTTATAGTTAATTGACTCGGTTTTTGACAAATTTGGTAAAAATCAGCGTTGGTTGACCGTGGTTTAATACGTTACAGCGTAACCAAATTATTAGGTTTATGTACTCGTTCGACGCAAAATTTAACGTTCTGTAATATCTTAAAGAATACATTTTTCGCTCTGATGTATCGTTTAGGAGTTATAGATGAAAAAACAAAAACATATCGAAAAAATCTGACTTTTTTGGCTGTAAAGAGTTCTCCGTTGGTGGCAGGCGTTCGAAATTTTATTTTTTACATGTCTTAACTCGTATATACAAGTTAAAAAAATTTAAAACTTTATCATATTTTTCGCAATGGATTTCCTGTTTCGCTCCCCAAGTTACTGGCCTAATATTCTTTAAATTAGCCGCCATTTTTGAAAGCAGCTGTCGAAGCCCAAGGAATTCCACCCATTCCAGAGAATGGCAGATAAGGTTCATTTTACTTAGAATAAAATACACTTTCGGAATTTATAATCAAACCTTCACCTGCGATTAGTTCGATTTTTTGGATTCTGGCTCCAGGACTATGTTATATGTTGGGACAGGAGATGGCGGAAGTGAAGGAATAGTTTAAGGGTGAAAATCGTCCGTCGGGAGATGTAAGAGATAGCCTAAATTTTTAACAGAGGAGTTGAAGGTGATTTGATGGTCTTTAAGGTGTAGTAAGAGTAAGTTGGTGGGGGATCTTTGGGGCTTAGTACCGATGACAATGGTCTGAGTTTTGGCAGCATTTAACATTAATATATTTACATTTACCCAGGCAGTGATTCGATTTAGATCTTCTTGAATCTTGGCGAATGATACCAATAACTCAGGAAGAGAAAAGGATAGATAGATCTGAGAATCGTCTGTATAAAGATGGTGGAACAATGGAGAATTGAATAATGAAGGAACTGAAAAGGAGAGAAGATATCCTTGAACATAGTAGTTGACTGTGTATGGAAACTGCTTGGGTACGTTGTGAGAGGAAAGATTGGAACCAAGAGATGGAACTATTGGAGAAGGATAATGATTTTAGTTTCTTGAAAAGCATGTAATGGTTAATGGAATCGAAGGCTTTGGAGAAGTTGAGAAGTATAAGGACAGTTAATTTTTTATCATCTATCGCAGTTTGAATATTACTGGTGATTTTAATTAAGGCGGATTATGTGAAATAATGTATATATTATGAAATACATTATGTTTCATTCTTTTATTATAGAATAATAAAATTTGAATATAAGTTTGTCTAAATCACGTGGTGAGATCACTTTCATCGGCGTGCAACAATGTGCCGGTATACTCTTCGTTCGTGGTATTATTGAGGTATTGGAGAAGAAGAGAATGGAGTTGATATTGTGGCCGCTGTGTCGGGAAGTGAAGCCAGCTGTGAAGGGTGTCCAAGATAACTGGCGAACCATCTTGGCAGCCATTGGCAGGCAACTTGCAGATTTAGGTCGCCCGATTGCAGTCCTGATAGTTGGCAACAAGAAGGAGCACTGATAGCTATTCGTAGAGAGATTTCATAGTTTGATGATTGATTGACAAATATTTCGAAATATATTACCAATAGTTATTTAGTCTATTTGAATAAATATTAACAAAAAAATAATGCTATGAACTTAATGAAAATTCCATGCAGAATTATCGAATTCCGATAAAATAAAATATTGCATTTGGCATTTATCTAATATAGGTATAGAATATGACGATAAATTACACAATTGGAAACTGGTCATTAAAGAATTGTCTTTGATTTGAGTCATCGTTTAATATAATATCAAGATTACTTATAATATTTTACCTAAAATTTTCTATAGAACATTTCTATATTGTTTTATACTATTGAATTATTTCAAATGAAACATCCGTTTTTATTATCTCAGAAATTTAAAGTGAGATTAATGAACTTTTGTTGTTTGGGTGGTTCTAAAAAAATGCTTAATTTTTGTGAATTTGTGAAATTTTGTGCAAGTGAACATCCATGGCTTCCCGGGATCCCAATGTAAGATGTAAGAGCTCAAATAACTTTTTCGGTCCAATTTTATTTTATTGATAATATTTAATTTTGTATTTAAAACACAAATATTATACCGCCATATTTGATTAAGAACCAATAAAAAAATGTTATACTCTTACACGACAACGACAGATCTCATGTTTCACGACAGACATTGAAAAAATTAAAGAAACTGTGCATGTACTAAGTCCTTCCACACCCACCTTATTCGCCGGACTTATTTCCAACAGATTTCTGTTTGTTCAAAAAATGAAGGTAAGTATTTTTAATAAAAATATTTTGATTTCATAAAGTTGTTTTGACATTTCATATGAAACGACCTAATACATAGTTTTAGGTTTATCTTGGCTGCTTGTTTTATACTGGATATAACAAAATCAAGTGAGAAAACAGCTTCTTTAATGAAATTAACTTTTGTGAATCTTCGCATAATTGTCAAGAATGAATTGGAACGACATGTTATGAACTCATGTGTATTTTTAAGACGATAATACTATTTACAGCTAAATCTGTAACGTAAAAAATGAATGACTGTAAAGTGCAGTGAGTTCACTATGTTTGTTAATATTACAATCAAAATTTGAATTTACAACTAAAACGTATTATATATTTAAAAAGGTAACTCTTATAAGTCTTATTCGATATATTTTTTTTTAATTTCCATTTAATTTAATTCCCAAACAATTTGACGAAAATAAGGCCTTTATTTTTCCTTAAAACTTTCAGAAGTTTTAAAACGACTTTTTAAAATATAAAACAATGAAATAATCCTGAGACAGCAAAATGTATCATTTCACTTTATTTACTAGCACGTGCTATTTTTCCGTGCATCACAAATTATTCATATAAATTTGTTTGAATATTTCCATGTTCCGAAAAAAGGAATGCATAAATCCTTTTCTACGAGAACAAGGGCCCCCTTCGGATGGAATTTAAAAATCTCTGAAATTAAAAAGTCATCCAGACAAAGGAGGGAAGGACTCACGTTTGTAAAAAAACAGCCAACAAAGAGGGAGCTTAATCAAGTCTTAGCTTAAGTCAAGTAATTACTGCAGAATAATTAAATTTCTTTAATAATAAAAGTACTTACACAAAAAAAGTCTGAGAAAAACAAATACTTAAGATTACTTTTGTATAGAAATGATAAAATGATTCATCATAAAAAAAAAAAAAAAAATCCTAATTCAGACTGAACATGAATATCGCTACTGTTAGTGCAAAAGGTCGTAAGTAAATTGAGTGTTTTACAGGAGAGCATAACAACTAATTATTTCTTTATGATATATCAGAATAATTTTATATTTTATTTACCTCTGCTATTTTCAATTATATCAGATTACCTATATCAGTTGCAGTCTAGAAGATGTCACCATTAGCACAAATAAAATACAAATATAAATCAAGACTTTTTTTTTTTTTTAAATACTCAAAAGTAAAACTAATATAAATTTACTGAAAATTACACGAAATCTAAGTAACGGCAATAGGTGTCATGCAAGTAATGTTTGGAATCGACCAAACAATACATTTTTTTGCACACTTTCTGATTCTGTTCAGAAAGGTATTTTGGTTTCAGAGTATCCTAAAATGTAAATTGAACTAATTTAATTAGTTAATAGAACTATAATTTCATAACTTTTCACTGTATTTATAGTTCAAATTTTGGTACTGAGCAAAACATTTCTAATAGTATAGTACAGTTATGAATGCCTTCGTAAGATTTGTCACAGGGACCCTGAGGTATTCCCGTGTTTCGCACCACTATGCTGAATTAGGATGGCTTTTCCCTTCCTTCCGAAGACAATATTTCCTAGGCACATTCCTTTACCAAATAATCAATAATCATCGTCCGCCCTACGCATACAATCTCCTACAATTCAAATCATCTATCCACACCATCTCCACAAGATCTCGTCCTTCTGACCTTTACACCCCTTTCCACAGGTCTGCATCATTTAAACATTCCTTCGTTGTCCGTCCCACTGCATTCTGGAATTCCATCCCACTAAAAATCCGCCATGCATCATCCTTATCCACCTT